GTACAACAGAATGAAAATTGTATGACAGAAAAGAAACAAAAATAATAATAGAATGAAAACTGTATGACAAAATAACAAACAAAAATAATAACAAAATAAAAACTGTATGACAAAATAACAGACAAAAATAATAACAGAATAAAAACTATATGACAAAATAAAAATAGTATTAGATCTGTTGACTATCTTGTTAATCAGATCTTCCAGTATGACAAAATAAAATACAAAAATAATAACAAAATAAAAACTGTATGACAAAATAATAGACAAAAATAATAACAAAATAAAAGCTGTATGACAAAATGAAAATAGTATTAGATCTTCCAGTACCCTGTTTATTGATTATTTGGCTATCTATCTAGCCGATCATGATGTACTATAGCTTGTTTCGATCGTCAGGGTCTTCTGGATCTGCTAGAGGTAAAATCCTTTATAATACCAACACGTCCTAATAATAAAAAGTAAAAAATATGCTAATATAACAACATATCTAGTCTGCTAAAGCTAGTAATTCTATGGGAATTTGAAAACTGCTATTTGCTACAGATATGAACAATCTGAATGGAATATATTGGCTTGGATATTGTTACAAATATGAAATTGGGGTTAAAAAAGGTGAAAATAAGGCATTCAAATATTATCAAAAATTAGCAGACATGAATGATTTTAATGGAATGCATTAAGTTGGTTATTGTTATTGTTTAGGAATTGGAGTCGAAATTGACAAGTATAAAGCATTTACATATCTGAAGTCTGCTAAAGCTAGTAATTCTACAGGAATTTGAAAACTGCTATTTGCTACAGATATGAATGATCTGGATGGAATATATAGAATTGAGGTTAAAAAAAGTGAAAACAAGGCATTCAAATATTATCAAAAATTAGCAAACATGAATGATTCTAATGGAATGCATCAAGTTGGTTATTGTTATTATTTAGAAATTGAAATTGAAATTGGCAAGTATAAAGCATTTATATATCTGAAGTTTGCTAAAGCTAGTAATTTTATAGGAATTTGAAAACTGTTATTTGCTATAGATATGAACGATCCAGATGGAATATATTGGCTTGGATATTGTTACGAATATAGAATTAAAGTTGAAAAAGGTGAAAACAAGACATTCAAATATTATCAAAAATCAGCAGACATGAATGATTCTAATGGAATACATCAAGTTGGTTATTGTTATTATTTAGAAATTGGAGTTGAAATTGACAAGTATAAAGCATATACATATTTGAAGTCTGCTAAAGCTAGTAATTCTATAGGAATTTGAAAACTGCTATTTGCTACAGATATGAATCTAGGTGAAATATATTGGTTTGGATATTGTTATAAATATGGAATTGAGATTGAAAAAGGTGATTTGAATATTCAGCAGACATGAATGATTCTAACAGAATACATCAAGTTGGTTATTGTTATTATTTAGAAATTGGAATCAAAATCAACAAGTATAAAGCATTTACATATCTGAAGTCTGCTAAAGCTAGTAATTCTATGAGAATTTGAAAACTGCTATTTGCTACAGATATGAATGATCCAGATGAAATATATTGGCTTGGATATTGTTACAAATATAGAATTGGGGTTAAAAAAGATAAAAACAAGACATTCAAATATTATTAAAAATCAGCAGACATAAATGATTTTAATGGAATACATCAAGTTGGTTATTGTTATTATTTAGAAATTGGAATCGAAATCAACAAGTATAAAGCATTTACATATCTGAAGTCTGCTAAAGCTAGTAATTCTATAGGAATTTGAAAACTGCTATTTGCTACAGATATGGAATTGGCATGGATAAAAATGATAAATTTTGGGAATAGTTTAAAAAGTATATTTTTTTATTATAATTATTGTAGTTTATTTAAAATAATATTTCTTATACAATTTTTAGTTATCAGTTAGTAAGCATAAAGAGCATTTATTGATATATTTATCAGCAATTTAAGCTTGTAATATTTATTTTTAAGTTTATTTTGCCCGTAAGTATAAGGATTATTAATAAAAAGTGCAATTTGAAAGTGAATTATTATAAGTTTGCTATTTATTTGATATAGAATTTTAAGGGTAGAGTGAACATAGATTATTTATTATATAAGTAGATCAACCAAAAAAATATCACACAAAAATCGAACACATGTTACATATAAAAGTTTTTAAAAATGTAACTGATTTTCATAAAAGTTTTAGGGTAGATAAATTAGACACTTCTAATTCTAATTATAATAATTTGAACCTCTGTATTATTTAAAAAAAACATACTTGTATATATTATTAATTCTTCCTAGATTGGTCGAAATTTGTCTAGATTATACAATATAAATATTATATGATTATCACCTAATTTCAATTAAATGTTATTGTAAAAAAATTAGTAACGTAATCACTAGTAAAAATGATTAACATTCACCCCACCCTTGAGCCCATATTTCAAAAAAAAAAACTGTTCTAATTTTTTTTTTCATAGAAATATGAAATAAAGTATATCATTATTGATTGTTCGTATATTGATAAATGATTATTTGTAGTATCTTTGATATGTATTGCTAATACAAGAAAAAAAAAGTTGTTTTTTTTATCATGTGTTAATAAATGCTCTGATCTTTTGAAAGATTAAAATTGCAAATTGTAAATATATATTACTCTAAACTGATATGAAAATCCTTAAAGCAATTTAGCTGAGCCTTATTACAACATAATGCCACACCATATTCGATACACCAAATTTGAGATTGCGGAGGATTTTGCAGATGTTTTCTATTTTTTTTTTGTAAATATATCTATACCACAAAACATGCACCTCTATCATTTTCTCTGTATATAGGGTAATGATTATTGCCAACTAATCTACATAATGGCAATTCAAATTTTGAAGTAACCTGAAATTTTTTGTTATTATCTTTTTTAATTATTTGTTCATTTTTGTTTTCACTTTGGGTTGTTCTTTTTAGAGAATTTAAAGAGTCTTGAATTAAATCACATATTAATACAAGTCTAAATACTTTATGCTCTTCTGCTATATTTAATTTTTTGCAAATTAAATAAGAATTTATGATGGCAGTATCTAGTAACCAGAAGAATAAAGGTACCCATGCTCTAAAAACAGTTAACTGAGTTGAATAATAACTTCTTAACTGATCCGCAATGTCTACTCCTCCTATGCAGTAATTATAATAGTCAATAGCAACTGGAATAGATATAATTTTTCAAGCCTCATCACCAAATACTGATCTAACATTTTTATAATTTATATTTGTTTTATGTAGTCTTCTATGATTTCTTTTAATTTTACTATCTGGCCTATCAATTTTATATATTGTTGTAAGCATTGTAACCAGGCCATTGTCAATTCATAAAAAGCTTAATATATCGTCTACTACTATTCCTATTAAGTGGTCTTACTCTAAATTGTTTTTTTCTTTTTCTTTTTTTAAAATTGCTGGAAACTTTGCAGTATTCGTTCTTACAGTTCCACAAGCTCCAAATTCTTTTTTACAAAGAAATTAAAATAAATTTATACTTGAAAAAAAGTTGTCTATGTAAATATTAAAAGCATATTCTTGTAGTAATTGTTTAACTAAGTGATATACTTCAGAGCTGATTTTGTTAAGATTTGGAAGTAATTCTATATTAGATGGTATAATATAATATAAAAATGTAAAAATATATATATAACCTGAATTATATAAAGATAATATCTTGTATTCTTCAGGTATAGGTTTGTTTTTTATACGAAATGTATGTGCACTATGTTTAGAAAATCGTGCAATTATTTTATTTATTGAAAGATTTGATGCAGGTAAATAAAGTTGCTTTAATATATTTTTAATATGTAATGCAAGTGGTTCTACTTTTCCAAACCAATTAGATAATAATTTGATACAATCGGAAAGATTTAAAAAATGTTTGATCTAAAAATTGTAAATTTCTTATAAAATTTATAATAATAAATAAATAAATAAATTATCTTACTTGTTGAAATCAAAATAATGTCATAGTTTTTTTTTTTTTTTTTGAATTTAAGCGATCCTGCTTCTATTTATTTTATAAACTACTATACGATTATTACATAAGTAACTC